AAAAAGAAAGTACAACTACCTTCAACAAAGCAAATGGAAGTGGCACATCATCCGTCTTCATAAAGAGAGTAACTGGCAAGAGTTCAACTCGTGTCTTTTCAAAGGCTCTTGCTGTGAGATCCTCTCTCAAAAAGACTCGTGATCTGGCAAAATTAAGTACTGAAAAGCAGAATGCGAAATCATCAGCCATTAAAACTGGTAGCAATGTCTTTACAAAAAAGGCAGATCCCAATCCCCAGAAGAAGGTTCAGAGTGCGGGAGGGAATCACACCACTGGACCCCCGGCAAAAGCTCCCCCAAACAAGAGTCCGAGCAACATTCCAAAGGCACCGCAACAGAAGAATGAAAAGGGTCTTGGAGAGAAGAAGACTGCAGGAACAGGGGGAAATAGCAACATTAGTAGTCCCTCAGGTGGAAAGCCCAATACTCCAGTGCAGAAGAGTTTTGGTGGAGGGAATGCAACTGACAAGGCAGCCTCAAAACCGAACAGTTTCCAGAACAAGAAGCCCTTTCAGCCGCAGCAACCAAAACAAACAAAGAGGGATGGAGCAGAGCATGGAGGTGCACCACCAATAAAACGTTTCAAGAATGACAAACAAGTTGAGGGGCCAGATTCAGGACAGACAGCAGGAAATACTCACCCTCATAGTAAAGAAGGTGATCAGGCAACAGCACCTCCTTTTGCAAGACAGAATCGGGAAGACAATGCATATGAAGACAGGAGGGATGGATACACATCATCACTGTTCTACGGAAACCCTGACATACCAGCCATTCCTCAGACCGACGTCAAGCCTGTCTCTGAGAAGGTGTTTTCTGAGGAGTCGTTCACCACCTTGGATATTGCCCCACAATTAGTGAGTATTTTTGCAGTATTTGACACATGTATGAAAATTTGATATTGGTATTGCAGTGCAGAAAGGGCTTGATATATTGTTTGTATATGGAAAATGAAAAAATGAAAAGCTTTCATTTGCATACACTTTTGTTTATGTCATTTATTCTCTAAAATGTTTCCAGGTATCAACACTAGAAAAATTAGGCTTCCGATCAATGACAACGGTGCAGCAAAAGAGCATGCCAGCTATCCTGTCTGGTAAGGATGCTCTTGTGAAGTCCCAGACAGGCTCTGGAAAGACTCTGACGTACGCTCTGCCTATCATTAATAAACTCATGTCGGTAAGGGTTGCTTGTTTTGTTTCTGATCTTTCTTCATCATCATCATTATCATTACCTTTGCTATTGGTATAATGATAGTTATTACCTTTGTTTGTATTGTTATTATTTTTATTATTAGTTATGATATTGTTTTTGACATTATAATTTTCATCAGTAGTATTGTTGTTCTTATTGATATGATTTTCATTGTCTTTGTTGTTATAATTATTATTTTATTATTTATTTATTCAATATTTTTCCCTGACAGCAAACACCACAAATACAGAGAAGTGACGGCCTCCTTGCCTTGGTAATTGTTCCAACAAGGGAGCTTGCACTTCAGAGTTACCAGTGGTTTGAGAAATTGTGTAAGGTAAGAAGAACTAAATACTTTGATTATTGTTTATGTTTTTATCAAATGGACCAAGCATTTTAAGTAACGTGCAATTTGAGACTATTGCCGTTGCACAGATGTACCTCTTGTATTATTAAAAGCCTTCTGCAGGAATTTGTTTTCCCTAAACAGTCATGGTTTGTTTTATGATTGCATCATGTATATAATTATTCTCGTATTCCAGGCCTGTGTTTGGGTAGTCCCTGGTTACCTTATTGGAGGAGAGAAGAAGAAGGCAGAGAAGGCTCGGTTACGGAAAGGCATCAACATTCTTGTAGCGACATCAGGCCGCCTGATTGACCACATCCACCACACAAAATCCCTAAGTCTAGCCAAGGTCAAGTACCTGGTCATTGATGAGGCTGATAGGTTGCTCGACATGGGCTACGAGAGAAGTGTGACAAGGTGGGATTTATTTATTATTTTTTATTGAGTGACTGTGAAATGTATTTAGTAAATGGATTTTTAGAATGACATTTCAATTCCTGATATATATGGAGAAAGTTTACTTTCATCTCAGTTAATGTTGCTGATAAAGTGTGGAATGCATGAATAGATGTGTCAGTGAATATAGGTTATGACTGTCAAGACCAGATATTCTCAATATTCTGATCCACATTTCTTGAGTAAATAATTATTGTATTTTTCCACTGTAGCATTATGGAATCTCTCAAGGAGCAACAAGAATCCACTGACAGACAGACTATTATGCTCTCAGCTACTCTCTCTTCAGGGGTTGAAAAGCTAGCAGGTAAAGAACTCATTCCTTTTGCATTCCGTAGCTGTATCTTGACCTGCATGGACAACTTTGGTGTTATAAATCTCAATTTTCAGTGTGGCTCTTTATGTAGCTTACAGTAATAAAGAAAAGATAAAAAAATAAAGTCACCCAGTTCTTTCAGTCTATAAAGAGCCGTTACTCCCTTTCAGGCATGAGTCTTGTCTCTCCGGAAATTATTGATGTCAGCCAAGAGGGACAGGATGGGAAGCTGATGTGTGAAGCTCTGGCAACCCCAGAGAACCTCTCGCACAATTATATACTGGTCCCTGCGAAGCTCAGGCTTGTCACTTTGGCAGCATTTATACTCTCCAAGTGTAAGGTGTGTGTGTATGTGTGTGTGTTAGATTGCCTTTGTATCTTTTGCTTTTCTTGACTTTATTTATTTCCAATGTGTTTGGATTACAATTTTGTTTTAGCCTTTGATGATTAGCATATTTGGATTTTTTGTAGTCTTTATTATATGTTTATATTTTTTAGGGGATCACATAATTTTTTAAGAAGATAGAAATATATATATATTTTTAAGAAGATGGAATTATTGTTTCTATTTTTTTTTTTTTTTATGCTCAACAGGTCGGGGATGAAAAAAAGATGATTGTATTCTTCGCAACGCAGGACTTGGTGGACTTTCACACTGAGATCTTCTCTCGCCTTCTCTCCAGGTGCTGCTCCTATTTTTGAGTCAGATAATTTTTTTCCCATGTAGGACCTTTTTTTTTTTCTCTCTCTCTCTATTCTTCATCCAAAGGACCAGATGGAGTATGAGTTTAGTTGATAGAAAATTATATTTCAGGGTGCTAGGTCAGGTTCAGATATTTTTCAAATTTGTTAGTAGTAGTCCATCTTACACTGATGAAATAATTAACTTCATGCTGCAACTACTACAGGTATGGAAAGGTGAAAGATGAAAGACCATCCTTACTGAAGCGAGCAGAGAAAGTTCTGGCAGGAGAGGAGGACAAGGAAGAAGAGAGTGAAGAGGAAGAAGAGGAAGACACAGAGAGGACCATTCTATTCCAAAAGTTGCATGGCAGCATGACTCAGCAGGTATGACTATTTGTTCTTGTTCTTGTTGCTCTTGCTTTTGATTGGGGAACAGAGTTAGGTTGATCTTTTAAATCCATAGTTTGTGGATTTTGATTGTAGGTTTTGTTTATATAATCTTTGGGTAACGCTAAATCATTTTAATTTATTACAGGAGAGATCAACAGTTTTCAGATCATTTCGTGAAGCATCTGCTGGTGTGCTGATGTGCACTGTAAGTATCAAAAGTATATTTTGATCAGTATTTTAAGATTGTGAAAATTGAGCACTGTTTAATGAACATAGTTTTTCAAAATTGTAGACATATTCTTCAGTTTACCTTAGGTCTTGCTTACTCTCTCTCCTTCCTTCTCACCTGTGAGTGATAGGATGTTACTTATATTTTCTAACTTGCAGGATGTTGCTTCAAGAGGTCTAGATTTGCCAAGAGTGCGTTGGATTGTTCAGTTTAATGCTGCATGCACAGCTGCTGACTATGTCCACAGAGTGGGGCGTACAGCACGTGTCAATTCTGCGGGTTCAGCTGTTGCATTCCTAGCTCCCTCAGAAGCCCCTTACATTCAGATGCTTGAGAAGCACAAGATTTTGTATGTTGATAGTGAAATTTACAAATCATTTTATAGTGTATGAAATTTCTTGTTCTGCTGTTTTTTGTAGAATGCTGACATATGTAATTTTCATTTACTTGATTTTTTTCTAGATTTGTAAAATTGTCTGGTCCTCCATTTTTATTTCCCAACAGATTACAAGAAATTAGAATGAAGGAGGTACTCAAAAGCTTTAGTTTTGCCTGCGATGATTACAATGGCGAAGATCAGGTATGTAATAAATTTGCACATGTATGGTCACTGATTACCAACTTGGGAAGTAAAAGTTGTAAAGTTCAGGTAGTAAGGAAGAAAAGATAAAAAGTGAATTATCAGTTCTGTGTAACTTGATACTCAAATTACATGTTAATGGACAAAAGTGGGGACATCAGTGCAATATTGCCAATTGCCTGTAGTTAACGACATTAGCTACAAGCATGGCACATTGAAGCTCACCTGGTTTATGGAGCATTTGTCCATGAGCCATGCTGTGAGTGTGATGTTTGCCCATTATTTTTGGAAACCAAGGCCTGAGTGAATGAAGGGCATTGGCCATACTTACTGATGTAATTACCCTGCCTTTCTGGCTTTAGTTTTTATATAAATTTTCTTTAAGCCAAACACACACAAATCTAATGCAGTCGTAATTTATGCATCTTTTATCTTTATAGCCTTCTATGAGATCAGTGGAAGAATTAGCCACCAACTTCCAGCTCAGCGTAGAAAATGAACTCGTCAGTGACCAAACCATGCACGACATGTCCCGCAAAGGTGAGTGGTTGTTTGTTTGTAAGTCAGTGTATGTAGGGACAATGGTTTGAATAGGTTTTCATGAATCAATATGCAGTTTGATGAAGTACCTCGAGTGAAAAATATAAAGAGGTTCCTGTAACATGACTGACCTTCTGTTGAGTGATTAACTGTACGAACTAATTTTTATTAGTTGTGAAGCTTATTCTGTGCAAATATGAGAGAACTAATTTGAAAAGTAATCTGACTTAACCCTTTAGTGATGAGTATGTCTATAGCTGTCATGATGTAATGGCCTATGACATATATAAAGATCATGACTCACAACGGGTGGGCCAGCTGTTCACAGCTTAAGGCTAGCCACAGATTCTAGACTGTTGCATGGTATTACATCACAAAAAAATCAGGCCTTGTCATCATAAGGTTAAGGAAAGATAACAAAGACTATGGCTGTTTCATTTCATTTCTATTTATTCTTTCTGTGTTTATATACTTCATTGCAAAAAAAATGTATTAATAGAAATAAAGACATATATTTAGATAAACAGAATTATGGAGTGTATGTAACATATTTAATTAATACTTACTTACTTTTTTTTATTTTTCAGCGTATGTATCCTTTGTCAGGGCTTATGCCTCTTACCCCAAAGAAGTGCGTGAAATGTTTAGCTTCAAAGCTCTCCATCTCGGTCACTATGCAAAGAGTATGGGGCTCAGAGACACTCCTTCGGCCCTTGGTGCTTCAGCAGCCTTCAAAGCAAAGAGAGAGTTTAAGGAGAAGCGCGAAAGGAAGGAGAAGAGAAAGTAAGTCCCATGTTTGAGTTTTATAGCTTTTTTTTCCATTCTTATTCATATCTTTGTTCTTGTTTATATACCAAAAGTCCAAAAAGTAAACATTCAGTCTTTGTTATGGGTAGACAGTTCCAAGCAGTCTGGCTCTTATGAGTTAGTATTTAGGAAAACAGAATTGACTTGAGGCAATGGATCATCATGGTCATTGTCGTTGTCATCAGTCATCATCAATTATCATCTCATCACCATGATCATTGTTATTGATTTTATTAACTGGTTATGTCAAACTAAACCATTAATTCTTTTTGTAGGAGAATCCAAGTGATGAATCAGAAGATGGGTAAACTACCAAAGTCGGCAATGTTCTCAGAGTTTGACAGCGGCTTAGATGCTCTTCCTCCAGCAGGCGGCAAAGGCAAGCAAAAGAGATGAGAATTAGCAAGAGACGGAGGAAGGGGGACGAGAGAATGAGTGTGTTATGCAATAGTACAAGCAGTCATGTCTTTCAATTTAAGTTCAGAAAAATTCTATTTTTGTCGAGGTGTGTATATATGTGTGATGTTAGGGTGTGTAGCATAATTCATATTATTGTTAATACTATTATTAATGTAATTTCTCTTTTTTTTATATGGAGAAAACTGTAATAATTGATATTATTAGTAATACCATCATTGATGTTTTTATTTCTTTCCTCTTGTTAAGTTGTAATAAGAGATCCACTGTGTTGTTTGGAAAATGTTAAAGTAACATTACATGTACAGTATGAAATATTGTTTGATATTCCTTACAAAGCTGGGTTAGAAGAATACAAGAAGTTGGATTAGAAAAAATAATGATCTTTTTTAGCCATATGTTTTTAATCTTCTGAAAGTGAGTTGTCTTCATAGACAGTGTGCATATGAAACTGAAAAATGATATAGCTAATTGATAAGATGTGAATTTACACCCAAAAAGATGTACTATAGATATGATATACCGTCAAAGCAAAATCGAAAGAAATACTGTTTTTATATCAAACTTACATTTACTTTAAATTGTTTGAAATGTTATACTAAAAAAGAATCAATAGATATAACAGGAGGAATAAAACTCAGTAATGAGGCAGTATTTATCTATTTAACAACTTATCATTTCTTGAAGGGAATGTATTCAACAGTCAATTAACAGTTAAAAACCCATTACATTAGTCCTGGAAAGAGGTATGAAACACGCTCACTTTTAAACTATTGAACATTTCAAATCAGGGATTTAGACAGTCATCTTAAGCACGCATCACATAACACACCACAATCACTACAAACATCAAATATATATTAGGCATGGAATCCACAGGGAAAAAAAATCATGTATGAGAAATAAAGAAACCAATGAATAACAGTGAATAAGGCTTGCTACTTAGTAGCAAAAAAATTATATATATATATTACATACTCTCACCCTGACTGTGGGTCTGAAAACCACACGTGCAATATAATAAGGCACTTTAAAGACATGCAGCGTTGTGGCAGACCTTGCGATTTATAGATAACAACCAGCTTGGTATGTAACACTAGACAAACTAAAAAAGCCGCTAACAAATACACGAAAATAGGTTAGCTATGACTTAAATGTAAGTAATACTAAGTATTGCAAAAACCCATTGCTGCACGAGGATCTAGAAGGCGAGCAAGAAATATGCCTGAGCACCATTAAACCAAGAGATGATTTTGTTCCTTTCCAGTGCCACAGGTGTTTGTTGTTTAGATTAGGCTCTTGTTTTGGTACCATAAGAACTTCTATTTGTATACTTTCAGGCCGTGTTTGTTGCTTACAATTTGCATTGCTGTACTGTTTGTTTACATGGTAACATAATAGAGATTGAGGGTGTTATCCAGCACCTCCCTCAGCCAGTGGCGCTTGGGAGACTTTGGGACAATCTTGGTGATCTTCTCCAACTTGAGGCTGAGGACGACCTCGCCCTCCAACTGCTCCAGCGCCCTCTGCAGCTCTTGTTTCTGGAAGATGGCGAATATACTGTGGTACACTCGGAAGAACGTCATGGCCTTCAGCTCGTCTCCCACAACCTTGTCGAATTCTGGGTTACCTGAAGGGAAAGCAAAAAATGTGGTTATCAGATGTCCTCATCGTGTATATAACTGTTCTCTGTTGGATTGTATTAGTTTCACTGGAAAGGCTATAGGCCTTGAACTGGTTAGTTTGATCGAAGGCAATGACTTTTCTCTTTATTTTTCTCATTCTTGTGAAGATCATCTTCCTTCCGGGAGATCTTTGACAAATCATGTTCTGCAGGAATCATCATCAACAACAAGAAATGTTTCCGCTTACTAACCTGAGGCCAATCTAAGCTTGCCAACGTGAAGGGCGTAATATGGCGTGAAGTACCTCTCCATTCGGTTGAGATCACTCTGGCTGCTGCTGAAGTGAAGGATAAAAAGTTTTATGCTCTTTGAGTTCGTGAAGGCCAATGAGGTATAGAGATATATCAGGTAACCAGAAATGAGTATAAAAAGTTAACGGTTGCTCCTCTCGTCAAATGATAAAAAGCTTCCCAAATTAGCAATAAATAAAATCCAATTGCTGCTGCCTTCATGAAAACTACAAGGTCTTTTTAAAAATCATACTATTAATCCACACTAGAAGAAGTAAAACATAGAAATTATTAGAGAAAAAAAAATCTACTCTTAATTTCACATCTACACCTCCCCGCGCCCCTCTCCCTCCCCGTCCACAAGCCCTCCCACCCGTCGGCCACCCACTCCGACCTCTGACTCATCGCGAAGTTATCCTTGAGCTCGGCGTAGGTCCTCTCCCCGAAGACGTAGACCTGGTACATGACGTCGCCGACCTCATACTCCGTTATGACGTGGGTGCCGTAGCGATCTATGAACTGGTTGACCGATTCCGTCGAGCCCACGCGGACTTCGCTCACCGTCGACTTGAAGTCACCCGAGAGAGTCAAGTCACCTGGAAAGGAAATCGAGTCACCAACAAGAGGAAAGGGTGGGTGAGGATCGCGGGTGGGAGGGAGCGAAGATGTTGGAAAAGATCGTTTGAGGGCAATTTAAAGTCCTGTGGAGATCAAGAGTACTCGGACATTAAACACTATGTGTGTGTGTGTGTGTGTGTGTGTGTGTGTGTGTGTGTGTGTGTGTGTGTGTGTGTGTGTGTGTGTGTGTGTGTGTGTGAGAGAGAGAGAGAGAGAGAGAGAGAGAGAGAGAGAGAGAGAGAGAGAGAGAGAGAGAGAGAGAGAAGAGAGAGAGAGAGAGAGAGAGAGAGAGAGAGAGAGAGAGAGAAAGAAAGAGAGAGAGAGAGAGAGAGAGAGAGAGAGAGAGAGAGACTAAGAATAAAACAAGAAACACAAAAAGTCTGACAGACAGCCAAAGAAAGCTCGAGGCAGCCTCACCGGCAAGCGTGGCCCTGCGCGCCCTCCTGAAGAGCCTGACGAGGACGAAGGAGTACTGGTCGTTGAGGAAGGTCGGGTGGATGCCCAGGTGCTGCGCCTTGGTCTTGGTGGAGAGCGAGCTGGTGAAGGCGCGCTTGGGCTCCGGGACGCCCTCGATGTAGAAGTTGTCGAAGTAGGCCGTGAGCAGGTCCTGCGCGTCGTCGCAGAAGTCGATGTAGAAGTACTGGTCGTAGCCGCGTCGGGTCGCGTTCTGCTGCTCGTTGCCGTTGCCCTGGGGTTGCTGCTGTCGGTAGAGGTGCTGCTGCCGGCGCCGCGGTCGGTCGGTCGTGGCCCAGTACGAGTTCTTCTGGAAGACCTTGGCCGTTTGCTCGCGGAAGAGCCAGTTGTTGTCGGTGCGGTGAGGGAACACCTGCAGGAAAGGGGAAGGGGGAAGTGATAAGCATCATGGGAACTCATGAAGGTATTTGATTCTTGACTGACTGATATGCACTTATCTAATAAACACCTATGCTTTAATCAAGTTAATCTATTTTAATCGCATCGGTTTGCCTTGCTGTTCCAGACTTTTCTGTTTAAAGCCTATCGGACACGTACAAAATGCTACCGAAAAAAACACAAAGAACAATTCAGTCTCCATTTGAGACGACTGTAGACAAAACTACAATTAGAATGAATAAACCTCACGAAGCAAGAGGTGTGACTGGCGCGTTTCGATGAAATCGTCTGCAGAATTACATGAATCCCATGTATTACTCAGTTGAAAATTCAGTCGAAACGCGCCAATTACATCTCACTTAAGGTGCTGTCACACTAGCACTTTTTCCGTCAATTTTTTATTTTTTTTTTAATTTAACATAAATACAAACATTCTCGAATTGGCTGAAAAAGTTGACGGAAAGGTTTTCAGACGGAAACGATCATTATCGTCTGACTGGAAAATCGACAATTCGCTCAAAAATGGACAAAATTTCAGAAAATTGTTAACAAAAATACGGAAAAAGTGCTAGTGTGACAGCTCCTTTACAGAACTCCGATTCCAAGTCCTCATCAACTCACCTTGACGGAGAGAGTGAGGAAACCGTATCGAGGAAGGAGATTGAGAGAGAGTCCCACTTGGAGGTTGTCCTCGACGTCTTCTTCCAGGTTCGCCTCCCGCGTCCTGTAGGTCTTCTTGCCTTGCCCGCAGAGCACGCACACGGCAAGCACCAGGGCCGCCCACGAAGCTCCTGTGCTCATGCCCATCACTGAGTCACAGCTGCGGATGGCGGGCACAGGGTGAGTGAGGGAGAACGATTAGCTTCAGTACACACTCTGCGAAACAACGCGGTTTGTTTTGTGTGTTGTGAAAGGGTCTCGAGAGGTAATGATTCCAAGGTTTGAATATACGATAATTAAAGCAACAAAAGTAAACAATAAAGGAATTACACTTGATTCACACAGACTTTTGAGGTCAGTGGCAATGTTTACAGCATATCCGGAGCGCAGACACTGAGTTTGAACTTGGAGCGTCGGGCAGACAGGGTTTAGTCGAGCCCTCAGAAGGCACTTTAGATAACTAACTGATGATACGTAAACAGTTATGAAGACGCACTCCAAATCGTGTCAAGGAATGGCTTGAAAGAAAATACCCGAGGAGATAAGGTCAGTTCTGATGGGAAGGCACGATCACATCAGATCAGGCCGATGGTAAGGCATAAAGTCGTGATAAAACGTACCGTAAACTCACCGAATTGGAAAAGGTCGAAAATAAAAGTGATAATCGAGAAAACACTTTTTTTTTAATTCCTTTTCCTCCTCCATGCTGACCTAATTTGAAAGAGTTTATACGCTGGTATCCCCTGTGTTACTGAAGTGAAGCTTTTCTGTTTACTAAAACGATGCGTCATTCGAGGGAATTGGAGCGTCTGAGATATGTATCAGGATGTAGAAAAGACAAGTAATCAAAAAAAGAAGAAGAAAAAGAAAGTTTATGTGTTATCTTTCCCGTAATCACCACAGGAGATAGATGATTATCATATATTTCGTTTTCGTGATTGAATAGGTATTTTTTCACAAGCTTTTGTTGCCATCTTTTCTTGCATCGAAAACAATATTTTTTTTCTAGATTTTATACAGGTGTGAATAAAGAAGCGTATTAATACATTTTTTTTTCTTATTTTAGCAGTAATAGAAGTGGTAGTTGTATTCTAACGTTCATATTGACAAAAAGTGTTTTATGTGTAGCACTCTTCTCACGCACATAAAAACGCGCAACATTCTTGCAAATACAGATGTTAGTACGCCAAAAAAGGAACTCCATATATATATAATATATATATATAATATATATATATATATATACATATATACACACACACACACACACACACACACACACACACACACACACACACACACACACACACATACACACAGACGTATGGGTATGTGCACACGAATAAACACTCTCGACAAAATCAACATCAGGATTAAGCCTTAAACGAAAGAAAAGGATGAAAAGAAGAGGAAACGAAGAAGAGGAAGAAGAAGAGAGGAAGACGGAAGAAAAAGGAAGAAAGAAAAGACGAAGAAGAAGGAGGAAGATGAGGAAGACGAAGAAAAATGAAGAAAAAGAAAATTAGAAGAGACGAAGGAGAAGACGAAGAAAAAGAAGAAAAAGACAAAGAAAAAGGAAGAGGAAGACAAGAAAAAGAGGAAGGTGAAAAAAACGCGCGCGCGCGATCTAATCGAGGCGGAAAGAGAGGGAGCGTGAAACGTGAGTAATCAAAATGCTTCGAGCAGAACGGCACGAGAGCGAACCAAGGGGCTGAGTGAAGGTAAATGAAAGTGAACGTTAGCAAACACGAATTAAGATGAAAGTGATTTTTACGAACGGAAGGCTAAGAAAAATAAGAAATAAAAAATGTAATTGTTTGTAATCAGTATTTTTCCTTCTGTTTTGTTTGTTTGTTTGTTTTATATTTGCGAAATGCAGAAATGACGAGAATGAGAGAGTGAAATTAAAAGTATAGTAGAAAATAGATCTCGGTGGATAATATATATATATATATATATATATATATATATATATATATATATATATATATATATTATATATTATAAATATATAAATATATATATATATATATATATATATATATATATTATATATATAAATAAAGTATATATATATAATATATTATATATATATATATATATATATATATGTGATATTCTATCTATCTATCTATCTATCTATCAATCTATAATATATAATATATATTATATATATAGTATATATGTAAAGATAGATAGATAGAAGAGGAGATGAGAAGAGAGAAGAGAGAAANTCGCTCTCAGATACAGTCACGTCACGTCAACTCAGCTCACTATATCACTCACTTCAACACACTCATACCACTCAGCTATCACTACATCCTAACTTCACGTCTACACTAATTCACTCACCCACTTTCAATTACTTAGCACTTACTCAATCACGTCAGCTCACGGTACCCATCTCTCAACTGTCGATCTGCACTCACTCAGCCCACCCACTCACTAACTCACTCACTATATCAGGCTCACTCTCTTCACTCACTCTCCACATCACTCATGCCAACTCACTCACTCACGTCAGCCACAACTCCATCTCACTCACTCACTCACTCACTCAACTCACTTCTCCCTCACCCACCCACGCGCACCCACCGCACCCACCGCACCACCCACCCACGCGCACCCACCCACCCACCCCACCCACCAACTCACCCACACCCAACCCACCATACGATCACGCCACCAACCACTCACCCACCCACTACTCGCACTCACTCACGCCACCTCACTCACGGTCACATCACTCACTGCACACACCACCTCACCCACCACTCACATCAGCCTGCAGCGTCACTCACTCACTCACTTCACTATCACGCCACCGCAGCCCCACGCCACCACCCACCCACCCAACCCCACTCACTCACATCACTCACTCACTCACTCACTCACTCACTCACCACACTCACCCACCCACCCACCCACCCACACCACCCACCCACTCACTCACTCACCCACTGCACCTATCACTCACCACACACTCACTCACTCACTCACTCACTCACTCACCCACATCACCCACTCACTGTCACTCCACTCACCACTCACTCACCCACCCACCACCGCACCCACACACCCACCCACTCACTCACCCCATCCTCTCATCCACTCGTTCAATTTAGCCCGCTTGCTCAATATTTGTTGAACTGCAGGTGTGCAAACAGATGTTTTAAGTAATACAGGTGTTTCATATGTAAATATATTTTACTGACTTTCCCTTCTTCGTTAATTTTAGAGAGATATTAAGTTTTTTTTCGAGATTTAATTTTTGATGTTTTTTTGTGTATTGCGCATTGCTAGTAGGGCCCTAAAACTGCTTTTTGAATCACTGTTGTTATTGTTTTTCTTGTTATATTTTTGAATGAATTAACCTTCCCGTATGTTGCTATGTGACCTACGGTTATGTGAGGAAAGGCTTTTGCTCGGTTTATATGTAGGGAAGCAAGGTAAGGAGTTAGTGTGGCTTCGCTCCCTCGCCCTTCTCCCTCCCCCCCCTTTCTATACTTATTTATACCCTTTCTCCTTCTTTCATTCTTCTCTCTTTCTCTTTTCTTGGTTTCTCTCTTTCTTTTTTTCTATTGTTGTCTTCTTCCTTCCTCTTTCCTTCTCCTTTTCTTCCTTGCTTCCCTTTCTTTCTTCCATCTTCTTCCCTTCCTTCCTTCTCCTTCCCTTTCTTCCTTCCATCTTCCTTCCTTTCACTTCCTTCTTCTCCTTCCTTCTTCCTTTCCTTCCCTTCACTCCTTCCTCCTTCACTTCCTTCCTCCCTCCCCCTTCTTCCTCTCCTACTTCCCAACTCTTTTCTCCCTTTCCCCTTCTTCCTCCTTCCCCCGTTTTTTTCCTTCCTTTCCCATTGACATCCCTCCCCCCCCCCCCCCCCCCTTCCCTCCCTCAATCATACCCCTTTTTTTCGCCCCCCCCCCCGACCCCCACCCCACCCCATCCTACATCCTGAGTACACGTATGAATCACATAAGTATTGCTGGCGACTTGAGTGCATGCGATTGTCGACTCTCTACCCCCGTGTCTTTAGGGTTATATTTGCCTTTTTTCGAACCAGGACTTCGGGAGATGGATAGGGTACGGAGAGGAAGGAATAAAAAAGGGTTAAAGAAAGGTGGATAAAAGGTGTGGAAGGAGAGAATAGGATAAGGATAATAAGAGGGGTTGATTATGTTTGTATATTGATTGTAATAATGGTGGTTATGATTATGTTGGTGTTGATTAAATTGCCATGATGATAAAAATTAAGATAATTATATGATGTAAATAACGATGGTGAATGTGATGGATGTTGATGAGTATTAATGGTGCTGATTAGGTGCTGATAATGAAGGTTATAGTAAAGGTGAAGATGGTGATGGTGATGATGGTGTGTTGGTGGTGATGATAATGGTGATCTAAACCATAAGTCTCTCTCTCTCTCTCCTCTCTCATCTCTCTCTCCTCTCTCTCTCTCTCTCTCTCTCTCTCTCTCTCTTCCTCTCTCTCTCTTCTCTCTCGTCTTCTCTCTCCTCCCTCCTCCTCCCTCCCTCCCTCCCTCCCTCCTCCTCCCTCCTCTCCCTCCTCTCCCTCCTCTCCTCCTCTCTCTCCTCTCGCCTCCCTCCCTCCGCTCCCTCCCTCCCTCCTCTTCCTGCCCTCCCTCCTCTGCCCTCCCTCCCTCCTCTGCCTCCCTCCCTCCTCTCCTGGCTGCTCCCTCCCCTCCTCTGCCTCCTCTCTCTTCTCTCTCTCTCTCTCTCTCGTCTCTCTCTCTCTCTCTCTCTCTCTGCTCTCTCTCTCTCCTCTCTCTCTCTCTCTCTCTCTCTCTCTCTCCTCTCGCCCTGCTCTCCCCTCCCTCTCTCCCCTCCCCTCTCTCCCTCCCTCTCTCGCCTCCCTCTCTTCTCCTCCCTGCTCATCCCCTGACCGTCCCTCCCTTCCCCTCCCTCCCTCGGCGCCCTCCCTCCCTACCCCTCCCCGCTGCCCCCTCTCTCTTCCCTCCTCCCTCCCGTCCTCCTCCCCTCCCTCTCTCCCCCTCCCTCCCTCTCCCTCTCTCCTCCCTCCTCCCTCCCTCCCTCCCTCCCTCCCTCTCTCTCTCTCTCTCTCTCTCCTCTCTTCTCTCTCTCTCTCTCTCTCTCTCTCTCTCTCTCCTCTCTCTCTCTCTCTCCTCTCTCTCTCTCTCTCTCTCCTCTCTCTCTCTCTCCCCCCCCCCCTCTCTCCCAACAAAAACAGGACTTACCTTCGCACGAGAACAAAAAACAAACAAACAAACGAACAAACAGCTGGCAGCGCAGTGACAAAGGACGACCTCTCTTTTTAGTGTTTTTTTTCTGACCTGACTTGACTTGACGACTGCGGAGACACCGTTAGCTAGCCAGACTGAGATTTGTTGTTGTTGTTGTTGTAAGGGTTGTTGTTATTGTTATAGTCTTTGTTGTTGTTATCGTTATCGTTATCATTATATTATTATTATTA